CATGGGGAATGGGAGCAGTAACAAAGGTGTTGCGTTTATATTTTTGTTGAGTGTATATATGTGTGTCTGTGTTGTTTCCAACTAGGTTATTTTACAAATCTGTTGTTCCTACAGGTCCTTGCTGACTAAATCTCTGTCACTTCTGCCCTGCAGCGTTGCGCTGGTTCTCACCGAAGTCGGCCAGTTTGAGTTCTCCGAGGTAGCTGATGAGCAGGTTTTGGGGCTTAAGGTCTCGGTGGAGGATCCTGCGGCTGTGGATGTAGCAGAGACCTCGCAGCAGCTGGAACATGAAGATCTGAAACACACGGTGTTGAGCCATGTTAAACATTTCATGGCGTGCTCCTCACAGCTGGAATGACACAGTACCGCCCCCGGCTGTCTGCTGCTGAGCGCAGCGACGTACCCGCACGTTGTGATAGCGTAGACCTCCAGGGTGCTGGATCATGTACTGGGCCAGATCTGTCTGCTGCAGAGACAATCTCTGGTGTTAAACTTCATTTTGATGGTGAGAAAGACCACAGAAAATTTGAAGCTTTTCTTTTATTCAGATACTCATGTTCATCATGTTAATATCATAAAAGGTTTGTTGTAAGACTGTTGTAAGAAATTTTACATAAAACATAATTTATGTTTAAACCTTATACCATAAATGTTCTACACAAATCAGAGATGGTGATCTGAGATGGAATGACCCCCATATTAACAAATAAATAGATCAGAATGAAAACAAAACAAAAAAAACAATATATACATTAAAATAAAATTGTAAAAATTTATAAACATTTAAAAGAAAAAAATATAAAATGTGTGAATGCTAAAAATTGTTGCCTTAAAATTTTGTTCTGACTTTGGTTGAAGTTTGTGTGTGTGCGTGTGTGTGTGTGTATGTGTGTGTTGGTGAGTGCTCTGTAGCACCTCCTTCAGGTCACACTCAGCACTGAACAGCAGATTTCTCACCAGGTACTCAAAGACGAAGGTGAGTGTCTCTCTGGTGTGGATGATGTCGTGCAGGAGGACAATGTTGGCATGTTTCAGACGTTTGAGCAAAGAGGCTGTACACACACACACACACACACACACACACACACATGTTTATGCACATGTTGCTGAAACTATTAAAAACTTAACCAGTGATCTAATTGGTCACCTTCTCTAATGGCATTGAACGGGACACCTTCCTCCGTCTTCATACGAATCACCTTCAGAGCAACCAGCTGCCCGTTTATCCTTCACAGAAGAAGAAATGTTTACAGTAAACACTTTATCACAGATCGATCACAACACAAGGAAGATTTTACGGGGCAGGGATAGTTCAGGTCATCCACTGAATGAGGTGCCCCTGAGCAAGGATCAATAAAGTATACATTTCTATTATAATGTCCAGTGTGTATGAAAATTAATGTAAATATTACAAATTTTAAAGTCAACATGTCAGATAAACTACTGAAGTTAAAAATGAAACGTTCTTTTTAAAATGTGCAACATAACAGAAATGGACAATTAATATATATTAATGCATAATATATATAATAACAAAAATGTATATACCGTATTTCCCGGACTACAAAGCGCACCTGAATATTAGCCGCACAAGCTAAAATCAGGGGAAAATCCTGTTTT